ATTCAATATTAAATTTAAAATACCCACCTCTATTGCAGAGTCACTATTTTTTTTTTAAAAAAAAACAGGATCTTTTTCAATAAATTTGTCTTTTACAAAATTCATAGATGTAGTTATTATTTTATTAAATAATACATTTATAGTAGTTAATAAATAAAATAATATAAGTAGACAAATAGTAAAGCTTATTTATATAAAAAACCAAGATAATAATAATCAGATCTAATGTATAGAGAAACTATGATACTTTGCATAGCTGTAAAAACCAAGTATACAGTAATTGATCTTGTAGAAGACAATTACAGAAGATTATTTTTAATATTTCTAAGTTTCTGTAATCTTTATATATGTTTTACCAAATTTTTTTTACTACAATCTACTACTTCTTTCTTATGACTAAATTATTTAATTTTTTATATAACATATTAACAAATATAACTATAATAATACTGTTGCTAGTATTATTTTTAATGTTAGCAACATTGATTATAAAATCTATATATTTCTTTCAAATGCTTTCTGTTATCTAATTATGTTGTTATTCATTCTTATTTTTTTTATTTTTTATAACTTCTCTCTTAGATCAAATTCTGTTTTCATTTTATCTAACCTATTTCTTAATAGTTATATTATACCACAAGTATCTATATCAACACAATTTTTATGTAATCTTTATTTAAATAACTATATATATAATTTTAGAGGTTTCAATATTATAATTAAAAAAGAAGCTTTGCAAATTTATTGTTTTCATAATAATATCCATATTACCTATATTACTAAAACTAAAATTATTAACATACTAATCTTTATTTTGAATAACAACTATTTATCTACTTCTAAACTAACTCAAAAAGATGCTTAATTATAATTTAGAACTATTTACAACCCTATATATATAATTGTTACATTCTGGTAGAGTAATTGCTTTGGATCTTTTTTTTAAAAATAAAATTTAAATTTAAATTATAGCTGTTTATCTCTTTTCTACTAATATACAAAATATAATAAAACACTATTATTACATAGATTTAACAAGTTTATAAACACAATCTTCATTCAATAATACTTGAAAACTTTAATACACTTAATAATATTTGTAGCTCATTATCTAAATATTATCATATTAATTATCTATACTACTTCAACATGTTCAAGCTTGGTATATAGATTAACAACATGCACTATATATGGTCAAATAATAATAGTTATATTAATTGTATCTGAACTGATTTATTTAACATCTAATTCTTTCTCTTATACAATCTTGATGACAACAACATCTCAACATTTAGTAATTAATTTATATTTACTTAAACATTTACTAATGTATGCAGTAAACTTTTATATTATTATACTGACATTAGTCACAGAATCTTCAACTATAAAGCTATGCTAACAGATAAATAGACAGACTTTTTTGATCTTCTCTTTTATAACCTTAGTCTACATAATACTCTACTTAATATTAATACTAATAAAAATATTAAAACTACTTGGTACAAGATTGAATACTCAATAATTAATACTACAATATATTCTATTTCTAATAAAAATACTTGTAACTACTAATACTTTTCTTACTTTATTCTACTTTATACATTATTTAAAGAGCTTGGACATCTAATAAAAATTGTCAAAAACACTTAACACAAACATGATAAATTCTAGAATTTGAAACATTAATAACAGATCTTATTGTAATCTTCAAGCTTTTAATCTAAATAGTTATTCTTAAATTTATATATAGATTCAATATATACAAAATATCTGAAAACAATTATATCATATTATTATACAGAAAACTTATTACTACTTTATCAACAACTCTAATAAGTTATTAAAAAAAGATGTGAAACACTTTCAATAGATTCTAAACAAGCTATAAACATTATTCTTAACTAATACAAAGCTTTTATTTATTTTTCTAATATCAAACTTTCTGACTTACTTATTACAGATTTTAATTTTATTACAGCATTTTCAATTTTATTTTTATAACTAAACTATATACCAATCAACTAACTAAGTCTTATTTAATAGCTTTTAGCATATACAATACTAATCATCACATATTAATACTTAACAATATAACTTTCTTAATTCTTCTATAACAGATGAAGTAGTTCTTCAAACTTTATTAAAACTTTTTAATAAAAAGCCTGTAAACCTACAGATATTAGCTATAAAATACTTAAATATGCAAACATCACTTGCATTAAAGCTACTACATCTTTATTTAATTACTACTTTAACTTAAGTCAAATTTTCAAACAATAAAAACATAGTAAAATTTATTTTATTCTAAAATATAATACATTTAATAGTGACTTAAATCTTACTCATCCTATTAGTCATATTGAACATATTAAAAAAATCTATATAAAAATTATTACTACTAGAATTAGTATTATATTTTTCTAATATCCTATTCTTTTACTATATAATTATATTATTCTATCTAACAACAGCATATCTATATTAATTTATATACTTAATAATCTTATTAAAGATGCATTATGCAACTATAAACCAATTTGGCTTTTATCTTAAAATATAAGCAAAGCATATAACTCTGTTAATCTTATTCTTATTAAAAGTCTTTATAACATTTTACCTTTCTTACTTTATTAAAAATGCTATTAATAATATACTAACTAACAAAATTAAGTTATCACAAATTTTAAACTTGGACTTACCTTATTATATTTTGTATACAATAACATTAACTAGAATAAAACCATTACTCTGCTTTTATAGAGAATTTACTATGACTTACTTATTTTATATATTCATAACAACTTCAAAGATTATAATTTATAAGTTTTATAATTAACTAATCTTAAACATTAAATACACAACAAGCTTAACTTACACTGCTTAGTTCTTGCTTATATAGAAGATATTCTTTAAATCACATCCTTACAACAAGAACTATCATAAATCCTTTTTATAACTAAATCATTTTTTAATATAACTAATATACAAATTAACCTTTTTAAATCTATACTTATAACTAATAACAAACAATCTATACTCCTATCATATACAATAATAATCTTCTTAATCTTTATCTACCAAATAAACCATTTAAATTTTTTAAAAATTGGTTTATATTTAATAATAAACAAACTAAATAAACCAAACTTATTATCACAAAATAATTATATCTTATCAAAATTGCAAGTACCAAGAAAATTACTAATATATATATATTTTATATTATCAATACTGTTATTATTTCTACAATTAAATATTGACTTTATAACATTGTTATTAACCAAAATACATATAATAAAATTCTTATAAATCATATAAGACTTTTTAAAAACAAAGCCAAACTTAGTTGCATTATTTTTACTAGTATATTACTTTATTTCTAGCTATACAATATTCATAATATACAGAATATTTAACTATAACATTATAGTAAAACTTTATCAAAAGACTTAATTTTTTTAATCTTTTAAAAATAAGTACTTATATTAGGATTTAATAGTTTCAGAATAACTTGTAATTATCAATTAGTGTTTTAATATATAATAATTCTATTATTAATAAGTCTAACAAACACACTATTAACTTTAAAATTATTCATCTTTTTAAATACTTTTAATATAATATTTACATTTAATCTAATATATAATATTTTATACATTATTCAAGAAGGATCTATTTCATTTAAATCACTACCTTTATTATATTCAAAATACTCAATATTCAAAAAACATTAGGCATTACTATATTTTCTACTTAGACCAACTTATTACATTTAATAACTTATGTCTCTTAGATTAAAAACACATATTTTTACATATAAAAAAAATTTAAAGACAAATAACTACTTTGGTTTAATTATTTAGAAGGCAAAAATACTATTCCTGATTGATTGTTAGTACTATTTCTGATAGAATAAAAAAAAACAATCTGCATACTATTCTTAATAGGGTCATACTGTTTCTGATAGGTCCCTAAAAAAAAGGTCCAGCAAACATAACCTAGGTTGTAAAAATTAATAAAACTGCTTAATTTATAATTTCTTCAAACTATACATGAACATTGAAACCTTGCTAAATTCTGTTGATGATAAGCCTTTTATTTCCTAATAAACATGATTATAATTTGGAAGTACATAATTCTTTAACTACTTATTTAACCATCATGTAGATGTCTCTTTAATGATCTTATTACTCTTTCTTGTGAAACTATATTTTGCAAGGGCTTTTTAATATCTGCAAATCTGCAAATAAGAAGCATGAATGCCCCATTAATAAATCATAATATACAATGCAACAAGTATGCAATAAATGCTTCAACTTATCTTACTTGTTCTGTGCTGGCTAATTGAAAAGTATTTATTTAGCTTGATATAACCAATAATAAATACACATTTTGAATAATACTGTAACTTTAGATTAATTAATGGATTGTCAAATATTATCAAGGGTAAATTGATTATATTTCATTAATATAGAGTATAATTTAAGTTATTGTATAGAGATAGGCAAAGTAATTTGCTTATTATATACAAGTTAAATCATGCATGTGACAATTCAGTATGTTATAGTTGTAAGTATATATTATTAGTAAATTGTCACATATTGTGATGATTTTACTTTTATATAATAAGTAAATTATTTTGCCAATCTCTATTATCATATAATGCAGAGTATAATTTAAATATGTATATAAATTACAAATATAGTAGTCAAATACATTGTTAACTCAATTTGTATAAATTGTAAGTGAATCAAAAAATAAATAGAGTTTGATTGAACAAAAAAAAAAATAGTTTTTTCACTTTTGGCATAGTAACTTCATAAAAACTGTGCATTATTACTTTGTGAGTTTGACTGTATAAGTAAAGAATTGGTTAGTGAATAGTAAAAACAACCAGTAATACAAGTGAGTGTTAAGCCAGAAGAGCATATCTCATATAACTGCTAGAATTATCTAACAAAACCAAAAAAAAATCAACTAAAGCATTAAAAAGAATAATAATGAATACATTAGGTTCTCCTTCCCAATATCATGTTAATGATAATAAAAGTGTTAATTTACCTTTTGGCTGTGCAGTTGAAACTTACATTAAATCTTTGCTATTATTAACCAACTGCAAACTTAAAAAACAAAACTGACTTTATGTAAATCAGAATATCAAGGCAGGTTTAATTACTCTAAAATGTGTTGAAGGAGCTATCAACTATCTTTCTTGGAAGACAATTCAAGGACAAAATAAATTGATGAATAGACTAGATGAAATAATTGAGCTTACTGACAAGTGTTGTGAACAAGTGGCAAAAATTAAGCAAAGTGCAGCATCAGACTTAACAGTATAGCATTGGGTTCTTTTTTGTAATGATAACAACAGTTGTGAAAGGGCTTGTGGTGAAATTGAGAAATTTAAGCAGAAATGCCTAAATTATTTTTTAAACAATAATTTGAAAATGATATTGATACACACAAGTGTGCTGTATAAGTCATTATTAAGGTTATGCTTTCAGATATTAAGAAACTCTTTCCAGTATAATTGTTTGTTAAAGGAATACATAGATCACAACATATGCCTATAGTATCACAATTAAAAGTATTAAGAATAAATCTTAGTTTCCAAGCTCATGATCATACAATTATGACACACTGCATATATCACAGTTCTGGAGTAGAAATTGCACTAAAATTATTGGCACCTTACAATAATACAAGTGAAATACATCTTAGACATGTGCATGAAACTAATAAAAATATATGCACTAAACAACAATTAAAATGATTAGTTAAGCATGATAATGTCGATTATGTAAAAATGCTAATCTGTGAACTATATTAGATCAATTGGTTACTACTGAATTAAAAGAGCAAGAAAAGGTTCTTTATTATCAGTATCATGATACTTCTATTTCAGAAAACTGCCCTGAGCATTACTACCAATTGACAGTAAGTAATAAGACATGGCTTTAACAAGGCTAGGATTGTGGGTTTTTCTGTTTTGAAATAGACAGAAAGTATGATCTAAATAATGAAAAAGCACTTGGCTTTTTATAGTTATTGAGAATGAAGCTGGATATGGGTCCCCATTAGCATTTGGTCTTAGTAACAAAGAAAATTATTATACAATACAAATAGCAGTTCAAGTAGTACAAGCTAATATTCTATGTAATAACTCTAATTGCATATATCATTATCAGTATGTTAATTTAGAAAATGAAAAAGGCTTTTGACATCAGAGAGAATGCATTTCACACTGAAATCCATTAGCTATTATGGACAAATGTCAGCTCACTAAACTTGCACTACAAGGTTTTATTCATGGAAATATTCTTTGTTAGTTCCATATTATGGCAACTTTAGGCGAACATTTTCAAACATAGAAAGTAGACTGGTTATTACAGTACTCAATAGCATTAGCTTTTAAAATTGTAGGTCGAAGTAGATCAAATGAAGAAGCTATTATGATAGGTAAAGAATATAGAAATTTTGTCTATTCTTTGCCACTAGATAATAATATAAAAGATCTTTTGGCTTCTGACTTAGGAATAAACTGAATTTGTAATGAGTAGAGGCAATGTTTTATCAATAGTAGATGGGCACCATATGTATATAATTCAGCCAATGCCAAACTAATAACTACAAACAACCTTACTAGGTGTATGCATAAAACAGTAGAAGCATAATGTAGTGAGACACAAATAGTCATTTCATTTATTAAACATTTGTACAACATTAAAATTCTTCGAGATTCATTAGTTCAAAATGAACTTGGTGCAACCTTATTTAATGTGGGTTTGGCAACATATTGGAATATGTGTACAATTGAACATAAGCAATTTTCACACAAAAAACTAATTGATATAAAATATCGAATCAACCAAGAGCATCTCTATGTACTTCTTGGTCTAATTATGCCAGTAATTGGACATAAAAATTACATGTTTGTTAGAAAACAATGTAAAAAGTTTTATTCATCCTACAATCATTATTCTATCAATATGGTAGCAGAACTAAGTGAAAAAATTGATGCAATGATTACTAAGTTAGTAAACCATAATGATATTAATATCTTAGCTAATTATTATCTTGTCAATATGTTATCTGAAGAGTGCACATGTTATGATTATATTTGGAGGAGTTTATACCATGATATCTGTAAGCACATCTATGTAGTAAGATTATATATAGAATTATTACATGAAAGCTTACAAGTGCAAGATGTCAAACAGAGCCTAGTAAAGCATTTTAAAAGTAAAGAGCATGCTATTGCATTTGAAAAAAAATTATATTATTTATAATGAAACTGATGATGAAGCTTATCAGAAAATTCTGTGGCTCTTTAATTATATTGGCAATGATATCTTTTTTCAACTAATTAAAAAATAGCAATACAAGATCCATTTTATCCAATAAATAATACACAAATTCCCACAACAATAGGATTGCCAAGAAATTACAAATCAAAGTATCAAAAGCCCAGTTAACTCTTTAATAATAAACTGCCTAATGAAACAGAAGCATATAATTATCAAGAGTCTACTAGTAGTTCAAAAAATGTTAATAATTTAATATTAACTGCTACTTATCAAAATTATGGTGATAATGCACATGATAATAATTTTGAGGTTGGTATTAATATTTCTCATTCTGTAAGTTGATGTAATATCACAAGGATCTGAAATAAATATCACACTTCTGCCAAAGCTATAGGTTTATTAATAATCATTTAATTATTAAATACTTTTATTGATTATACTTATTTTATAAATGTATATTTTTTATTTTAGTTATGAATATTAAGCAATAGAAAAAAGAATGATTTTACCTTATCAGTAAAAAGATCACTTGAAGATTTATTTCTTAAAAAAAAGTGTGATTGGAATTCCAAAGAATTTACAAACATGGTGGTAGAAAAAAGATTATGTTTGGATAATAATCCTATTAAAAATAATTTAAAATTGTATAGATAGATTAGTAATCGAAAGATTAGAGCAAAAAGTGCAAACAATATTAATATTTAGCTTCTAATTATGAATATTCAAAGTTGTTAAAAGATGATAATGCTTAGCTTATATTTACTGTACAATGTACTATACTATTTGAAAAATAAAAACTTCTTGCTTATTAGATATATATATAGATTTTTATACATATTATAGCAAGATTATATAATTAAAAGATATATATAAATAAGTTATAATTAACTCTGAATTGATTTCAAATCACTGTAAGTTGTAGCAAAATTTGATAATTCAAATTCTACTTAATATATTATCTAAAATCATGGTAATTTGTTAGTAGTTCTTATTTTTTTTTTTTTTTTTTTTTTTTGTTATGCCAAAGTAGAAACTTTATTAAGTAATAAAAGTAATTACATTAAA